ATCAAAGAATACAGAAGACAATTTGAAAGGACTCCCACCAACCAAATCAGAGATAACTTAGTTATCAAAATAAACAATATTGGGCTGGGGTTGTGGCTCAGCAGTAGAGAGCTCGCCTAGGGCATGCTCGATCCTCAGCACCACATGAAAATAAATAAATAAAGCAAAGGAATTGTGTCCAAGTCCAACTACAACTAAAAAATAAATATTAAAAAAATAATAATAATATTGGTGGCCAGGTGCAGTGGCACATGCCTGTAAACCCAGGAGCTTGGGAGGCTGAGGCAGGAGGATGGCAGTTCAAAGCCAGCCTCAGCAAAGGTGAGGTGCTAAGCAATTCAGTGAGACCCTGTCTCTAAATAAAATACAAAATAGGTCTGGAGTTGTGGCTTAGTGGTGGGCGAGTGTCCCTGAGTTCAATCCCCAGTACCAAAAGAGGGAGGGGGGGATATATAAAACTGTTTTTGTTTGCAAAAGACATAATTATCTCTTAGAAAACTCAACAGAATCAATAGACAAACTAGGAAAACCAAGAAAAGAGTTCATTAAGTTTGCTAGATAGAAAATCAATTATATTCCTCTACAAACAAAGGAAATAGTTGCAATGTTTAAAGTGAATGTGGATGGAATTGGGGTTAGGAGTGTAGCTCAGTGGTAGAGTGCTTGTATAGCATGCACCAGGAGGACCTGGGTTAGATCCCCAGCATTGCAAAAATAAAATAAATAAAAAAGAAAACAAATTGGACATTTTGATAAGTGTGGCAGATATTCTGAGCATTGGCTCTTTTAAAGACTTTTCTGATATAAAATCAGTCTATCCTTTTATCTTTTTTAAAAATATGTATTTTTGTAACTATTTTATTTATTTATTTTTTTATGTGGTACATGTTGATAAAGATGGCACCTGGAGCCCTTCTCTTCCGGGAGCTCAGGTCCCTGATGCACTGAATGGCACGAACTTTGAAAGGCGCCTTCAATCCCTGAAGTGGGGCGAACTCTCATAGTAACAGCCCACTCGCCTTCTCCTCCTCATCCTGCGTTAAGCCCATAAATATCAACACTCTGTTGGTGCTCTCTCTCTTACTCTCCCCCTCTCCCTCTCTCTTTCACCCCCCTCTCTTCTCTCCTCTCTCTCTCTTCCCCTCTCCTCTCTCTCTCTACCCCCTTCTCTTCTGCGACTGGCTGCTACTGTCCTGCTAATAAAATCTTAGACAGGTAAACTGTTGTTTTGGCTTGTTGAATTTATGGAGCTTTTCCACCGTTCCTTACAGTACTGAGGATCGAACCCAGCACCTCACACATGCTAGGCAAGCACTCTACCACTAAGCCACAACCCCAGCCCCTCTTTTTATCTTTTTTTTTTTTTTTTTTAACCAAGAGTTTAAGCCAGGAATGCTTTACCACAAGCTACATCCCCAGCCTTTTTTATTTTTTATTTTGAGACAGGGCTGAGCCACATTCCCAGTCCTTTTTTAGGGCCTTACTAAGTTGCTGGCCTTGAGGCTGGACTTAATCCTGCAACCCTCCTGCCTTAGCCTCCCTACTTGCTCAGATTACAGTTTTCCACTGTGCTGGGCTCCCTTGTATCTTTTTCTTTTTTAAAATTTTGTTCTAATTAGTTATACATGAAAATAGAAAGCATTTTGACACATTGTACAAAAATGGAGCACAACTTCTCATTCCTCTGACTGTATATGGTGCAGAGTCACACCAGTAGTGTAATTATACATGTATATAGGGCAATAATGTCTGTCTCATACCATCGTCCTTCCCATTCCCACACTCTGTCCCCTCCCCTCACTCCCCTCTGCACAATCCAAAGCTCCTTTATTCTTCCTTACCCCTAACCCCCATTATGGATCAGCATCCACTTATCAGAGAAAATATTTGGCCTTTGGTTTTTTGGGTTTGGCTTTTTCACTCAGGATGATTTTCTCCAGCTCCATCCATTAACCTGAAAATGCCATAATATCATTCTTATTTAAGGCAGAGTAATATTCCATTGTGTATATGTACCATATTTTCTTTATCCATTCATCTGTTAAAGGGCATCTAGGTTGGTTCCATAGTTTAGCTATTGTGAATTGTGCTGCTATAAACATTGATGTAGCTATGTCACTGTAGTATGCTGATTTTAAGTCCTTTGTGTATAAACCAAGGAGTGGGATAACTGGATCAAATGGTGGTTCCATTTGATTTCTCCATATTGCTTTCCATAGTGATTGTACTCCCTTGTATCTTGATGCTGTGAGGTGGTGCCCTGACAATCAATCTGGTGTAAATATTTTGGCATTACCATATTACTTATGGTAACACTCAGTTTCTCTTATGAAACTCGTATGTGTTGCCAGTTTCTATTCTGGTGCCTCCTCATCCTTCAAACTTTAGTCTTATTCCTCTCAGTATCCCCAAAAGAATGCCTTGCATAATACTTATTGGTAGCTGTCCTTGCTGATCTAGTGGTTAGGATTTGGCACATTCATAGTACCTGTTAGTGGAATTAGGTGATCCTTTTTCTCAACTTGGACCATCTTTCTGGTATTATTTACTACTGTTCCCCATATTCCACCTACCCCCTAGAACTCGCTATTCTCTGAACACTCCACATTCTTTGTTTTCTTGACTTTGTAAATACTGTTCCTAGTTCCTGAAATAAAATGACTTCTCTCTCTCTCTCTCTCTCTCTCTCTCTCTCATATGCTGGGATAGAATCCAGGATTTGTTAATGGTAGCAAATGCTTTTTCTATATTATGTTTTCTTTTTGTGGTGCCAGGGATCAAACCCAGAATTTCATGCATGAAAGATCCCAAACTCACATTTTCTATTTTATTTTATGTTTGTGGTACTGGGGATTGAACCCAGGGGTGCTCAACCACTGAGTCACATCTTCAGCTCTTTTTTGTATTTTATTTAGTTACTTAGGGTCTCACTAAATTGCTGTTGCTGGCTTTAAACTTGCAATCCTCCTGCCTTGCCTACCCAGTTGTTGGGATTATAAGCATGCACTACCATGCCCATTTAGCCTTGAACTCACAATTTTCCTGCTTCAGCCATCAGAGTCACTGGGATTACAGGAGGGCATCACTATGCCCAGCCACTTTCTCTATTATAAAGAAGTTCAATTATTACTTCTGGTAGGTTTCCCTGTTTCTCCATGCATTCATTCATTTACTCATCTATCCACTGACTCATTCAACAAAGATTGAACATTTTACAAGGCACAATGCAAGGCACTGAAAATTGACAGTACATAAAAAATAGAGGGTCACCTTTATCATTCTCTTGAAGCACTATCAGGAGAGAAAAATTAATAAACAAGATTTATTATGTTCATGTTGATGAATATATAATTACCAACTGAGATATATGCTCAGAGAAAATAAACACTACTGCTTGAGAGAATATAACCAAGGAATCTTACTAGATTGGGATGGGTTGTGGGTAGAAGAGTTCAAGGAGGGCCTGAGGAAGGAAAAATGAATATCAATTTGGAGGCATAAACAGGCAAAATTGAAGCAAAAAAAGACTGGGGTTGTGGCTCTGGGGTTGTGGCTCAGCAGTAGAGAACTTGCCTATCACGTGCGAGGCGCTGGGTTCGATCCTCAGCACCACATAAAAATAAATAAATAAGTAAAATAAAGGTATCTTGTCCAACTAAGACTAAGAAACTAAATGAAATAAAATCATTCTGAACAACTACTAGATTTTATTTTAAATCAGTAAGATAATTCATTAATTTGGAGACAAAAGAATAGCGGTATCACCTGGGAAATTTGTAGTTTTCTAGATGAGATTATGGTGGACTGAGGTGGTGGTAATGAATATGAAGAAGTACATGAATTTTAAAGATCCTTCAAGGTAATATTCGTTAAGAGTCAAAGATGGGAAGCCTGGCGCAGTGGCGCTGGCCTGTAATCCCAGCTACTTAGGAGGCTGAGGCAAGAGGATTGCATGTTCCACGCCAGCCAGACAGCCTGGGCAATTTAGGAAGCCTGTCTCCCACCTCACCCCCGCCCTGGCAAAAACAAAAACAAAAAACAAGTCAAAAGTAAAGGGCGACAACTGGTAGAAAGCTCTTGGGTTAAGGAAGAAAAAAAAAACAACTCAAGGATCTAGCAGGTGAGCCCTCTATCAGCAATCCTCCAGGTTTGCAAAAGGCAACCTGAAGGTGGGGAAATCCCTAGCTTGGAGAAGCCAGTCAATCTGGTGTTAATTGAGTCCCAGCAAATTATGTCTGACCAGACCTCATCAGGTTGTTAGGCCCAAGTGAGCAAATTCTTTCTTTCTTTTTTATTTTTTTTTAAGAGAGAGATAATTTTTTAATATTTATTTTAGTTTTCGGAGGACACAACATCTTTGTTTGTATGTGGTGCTGAGGATCGAACCCGGGCCGCATACATGCCAGGCGAGCGCGCTACCGCTTGAGCCACATCCCCAACCCATCTACCTTTCTTTCTTTCTTTCTTTTTTCAGCTCAATTCAATTCTGTCCAGCCCTCTCTGCCCGTTTGGGACTGTTCTGAGTTCCGGGCAGGACACGCGCATGCTTTCTGTAAGTGCCTGGAATGGCGGCCTCTGAGCTTGGTCCCACACTACGGTCGCAGTGGGTCCAGGACTCCTGCCTGCCTCCGACACCTTGAGGAGCAACCGCGAGGACCACCAGTCTTTCCCACAATGCCATGGCGCCTTCTTGCCGAGGAGTCCTGAGACATCGCGAGAATGCCACAAAGCCCTTTGCGGCCCAGACTCAAAGCACCACCCCTTCCCCAGCCTAGGAAAGGTCCACCCCCATTGCCCGCCGGCCTTCCACTTGCGCTCGGCTCTCGGGTTGGCTGATGGAGTCGGGTCAGTTTTTTCTTAGCCAGAAAGCGGTTCGAAAACTAGTTCCTCTTCTGGTCCCTCCTCCGAAGCCTGCGGATTGGATAACTGGGTCATGTGTCACGCGCCTCCGCGGCAGCGCAGACGAGCCAATCAGGAGCTTGGCGTATTTTACAAACTGGGGAAGTAGCAGCAGCAGAACCCAGAGAATCGGGGGAAAAGCGAAGAAAGTGGAGGCGACCCTGAAGGTTTCCTGGGAAGGTGTGGCAGAGTGACCCTGGGGTGAATGAAGCTGCGGGGCCTCATAGGGAGGAGAATTCTACGCGGTCCTGAGGGAAAGAGCAAGCTCGGGGTGAATGGAGGTGGCAGCCAAAAGTGCGGCCTTGCAGGCGCAGGGGCTTCTGAACGCATGGATTGGGGCGGAGGTGGAAGTATAAGGGATGGCAGAACTCTTGCCCCGAGAAGTGGTTGACTTTGATCCCGATCCTGCCTGCCTTCTTCCCAGTCTTAGTTGTAGCCGCCATGACCTCCCTACAAGCCAAGAAGGATCCGCTCCTCCGGGGTGTATCTCCCACTCCTAGCAAGATTCCGGTTCGCTCTCAGAGACGCCCGCCTTTCCCCACAGTCAAATCGTGCGTCTTGGACCAGGAAAATCAAGATCCAAGGGTAAGAGGATCCTGGTAGGTGAAGAGAGTGGTTACTAGGAGGCAACACACACTAGTACTGCACCCCAAAGCTGAATCCCAGTTTTTTGTCCTCCCCTTCCCCTAGAGATTGGTGCAGAAGCCACCGCTCAGTATTCAACGTCCCCTCGTTGACTCAGCAGGCGCCAGGTTGAAAATCACGCATCAAACAGAGAAATCACAAAGATCGATGGGTCACACTCAGCTCCGGAACCCCTTGGAAGAGCTTAGATCTAGCCCTAGGAGACAAAATGTGGGTCCTGGGCTCCCTCCCCAGACAGGTACCTGGTGGAGTTCTCCTTGGTTGAATGGGGAGGGCCCAGTGGGGTTTGGGGGCTTTGCACTCCCCCTGGTCATCTGATTACTATAAGATTCCTGGTTCCTGCTCCAGGAAAGCTCTTTGCTCTTAGAAGCCCTCTCCTTCCTTCAGCAAAATGTCCTCTTCTGAAGTCTTTTCCAATTCCCCCAGTCACATCAATTGCTCTGTTCTAATACTTTTTAATATTTATTCTATAATCTGTATATACTCTATCTTGAGTCTGTCGCCTTTCAATAATTTGATGATAGAGGCTTTGTCTTATTTATCTTTGGCTCAAGTGCTTAGAAGAGTATCTCATGTAAAGTTCTGTGAACATTTGGTGAGGTGGGTTCAATCATCTGGCTCTCTTTTGCTTACTCTTGTCCATCAGGTTGTCTATGCTAGGGTTCTTGGCCTTTCAGCCTTCCCCTTCCTGTTCCTTCTCACCTTTTCTTCTCCTCTAACTTTACAGAGGTTCCAGGGGCCATAGAGTTTGTGACTGACCCTGCAGCTCTGGCCACCATCCTGTCAGGTGAGGGGGTGAAGAGCTGTCCCCTGGGGCGCCAGTCCAGTCTGGCACAGAGAGTACTGGTTCGAGGGAGCCAGGGAGGCACAACCCGGAGGGGCCAGGTAATGAGAGAGGATGTGAGATCAGGTTGGGGGTGGACTAAGGAAAGAATCCCCAACTAGTGCTGATAATCTCTGTTGGTGTTCCCAGGGTGCTCGGGCCTCTGCATACTTGGCCCCCAGAACCCCCATCCACCAATTAGACCCTGCCAGGGCTTCATGCTTCTCAAGGCTTGAGGGACCAGGACCCCGAGGCTGGACTTTGTGCCCCCAGAGGCTAGAGGCTTTGGTGAGTGCCCTTGAAGGGCTGGTGCTCAAGTGTTCTGGGAGTCCCTTCCAGAGATAAAGCTGGGCCCTGGAAGGGAAGGTATCTCATGAAGGGCCAAGGGATTCTGTTAAGGAATATGGGGTTGGTGGTGAGGCCTAAAGCTTTAGGTCCAGCTCTGACTCTGCTTTCATTTATTGCTTCTATGGATCAGATTCCACCTTCAGGACCTTCCTTTCACACCACCACCCGTCCCAGTTTACAGGAGCTAAGAAGAGAGACAGGTGGCAGCTGCCGGTGAGAAGGAAGGGATATGGGAGAAGGTGATATAGAAAAGAATGAACCAGTATCTGAGTCAGGGGTCTCCAGAGCTGAGGTCTTTCACTAGCTTTGGGACTCTACCAACCTAGGAGGGAATGGGGGAAACCTGTGACTGCCCAAGTTGAGCCTTTGGAATAGGGTTCAGGCTTTCATAATCAGACTTCAGTATGACATGGAAGAAGAGAGGGATAAAAAGGTAAGGTGCTATTTGTTTTGGCTAGAACACAGTCTGTGGCAATAAGTGGGATTTGGGTTTAATTCCTAACCCTTACCACTACTATTTGAGCAAGCATGCCCTAACCTCTCTGAGCTTTGATTTCTTTATCTATCCATTTTGTATCATATCCTGTTTTCACCATAATTAGAGGTTGCCGTGAAAGTGAAATGGGATGATGTTTATAAGGCACATGCCAGGCTCATAGTTGGTATTCAGTGACTGCTATTATTCTTATTGTCATCAGAACTTCAATCAACCAGGCCTCAGGATTGCACCTGGAAACCCCAATGCAGGCAGGTGAGTGTGTCTGGCACTGGGGAGAGAATGGGGCTGCTTGCAGCAGGCAACAAGAGAAATAAGAAAAGCTCATCAATCTTAGGGACTGAGGTGAGGAAGTGGGAAGGCAGGGAGGTCAGAGAAGAGGAAAGCTAGAGATATAGATCAGTGGTAGAACACTTGCTTAGCATTCATGAGGCCCTGGGTTTATTCTTTGCACTGCAAAAATTAAAAATAAAGAAGGAAGAAGAGAGCTGGGCATGGTGGTATATGCCACCAGCTACTCAGGGAGACTGAGGGAAGAGGATTGCCAATTCAAGGCCAGCCTAGTTAATTTAGCTGAGATTCTGTCTTCAAAAAAAGAATTAGTAATGTAGCTCAGTGGTACAGTCTCCCTTTCAATCCCCAATAGTTGGTAGTAGTAGTAGTCATGTGAACTGTTGAGTAGTAATGAGGGTGGATAGAGTAAAGGACCCATTTATTAGTAGCACAGAGAGGAGAAAAAAATGGAAGAACTGACTTTCTGAATGGTCCAGGGGTTGACCCAGTTATATTTGTGTCCCCATTTCTGCCCTATCCCTTGACACTTCTGTAATATTGACCTTCCACTCTGTTGTGTCCCCAGCCCCTAGCACCCTTACCACTCCCACAGCCCACTCAGTTTTCAGATTGCTAAGTGCTTTTCAAGGTAGTATTGGGTTTTCAGGTGATGCTGCATGGGTCCTTGCCCTAAAGGGCAAATGGGGGCCCTTAAACTGGTGTACCTTCTTAAGAGGCTACAAAGGCCTATCCCAGATTTTCATGCATGTTTTTAGATACTACAGCAAATTTCCTGTCTTCTTGTTACTCTCTCCCTAAAGGAGAACCTGAGGTTATCCCTAACTCAGATGAAGGAGGAGGGGCCCTCCTGGGTCTGGCCCAGCGAGTACCATTAAGAGAAACCCGAGAGATAATACATACCAGGGTGAGATGGGATCCTCCTGGGTGGGGAGTACTGGAGATACTTAGGGAATTTCACTGCAGTGGCCTACATTGAGGACTGTGGGTAATGCCAGGCAGTCTTGGGCCTCAGGATGCTATTAGGTCTGAGTTGGCCCCAAATGGGCCCAACCCCTCTCAGAATGGGACTGAAAGACTTCTTTTTACCAGGTATCTGGGGCCTGGGGTGAGAAGTCACAAATTGCTATATATTTGAATCACCTTCAGATCAGTCCTGAGGTTAAGACACATCTGATCCTTGGCATCCCTTCATTCCACAGACATTTTACTGACCAGCTACTGAGTGTGGGTCTGTACTATGCATATTCTAGAAGAGGGAGACAAAAAATAAGCACATAGGTAAAATGTATAGGATGTCAGATGGTGATATTCTCTGTAAAAAGAATAATAATAAGGTGCTAACCTGGTATGATGGCACATGCTTATAATCTCAGTGACTTGGGGGGCTGAGGCAGGAGGATCACAAATTTGAGGCCAGCCTCAGTAACTTAGCAAGCCCCTAAACAATTTAGTGGGAACCTATCTCAAAAATAAAAAGGGCTGGTTATGTGGCTCAGTGGTAGAGCACCTGGGTTAAATTCCTGGTATCAAAAAGAAAGGTGCTAAAGGGACATTGGTATTGAGGGAATTGTTATCACAATTTAAAGTAGATTGGGCAGAGGACTCTCTTGGAGAAGATGATGTTTAAGTGAAGATAGGAATTGAGGGCATGAGCCATGCAGATATGTAGGGGAGAACATTCCAGGCCAAAAGGGCTGTAGATGCAAAGACCCTAAGAAGAAAATGTGCCTAGTGTTTGGAGAAAAGAGAAGCCAGTCAGAAGCTGGGCTTGGTGGTGCACACTTGTAATCCCAGCAGCTCAGGAGGCTGAGACAGAAGGATTGAGAGTTCAAAGCCAGCCTCAGCAAAAACAAGGTGCTAAATGACTCAGACCTTGTCTCTAAATAAAATACAAAATAGGGTTGGGGATGTGGTTCAGTGGTTGAGTGAACCTGAGTTCAATACCTGGTATCTAAAAATTAAAAAATTTAAAAAAAAAGAGGCCAGTCAGATTGAAGCAGAGTAAGGAGAGATGAGATTACAGCAATAACAGGATCAGATTAGGTTAGGACTTATAAACAAGTGCACACTCTTGGTTTTTACTTGGAATGAATGGAAAGCCATGGGGAGAAGGAATGAATACAGGAATGACATGATTTGACTTCAGTCTTGAAAAAAAATCACATTGGCTGCTGCAGTGAGAATAAGACAGGAAGACAAAGGGGAAAGAGATCACTCTCTACTTTTTTCCTCTCCATAGGACAGCCATGATGCTCACCTGATGCCCTCCCCTGCCCAGTCCATTCCTGGCCCTGTGATACCACCTTCTGTCACTGGCCTATCACCCTTTGGACAGGCTCAGCGTGTACCCTCTCCTGCTCTTCCAGTTGTGGTTTGTATCAACAAGTCCTAGAGGCTGGGCAAGAGCAGAACAGTCTGGCTAGAGATCCTGCTAGGTATAGGTTTTGTTCCTGCTCAGCCATCCACATCTCTCCCCAGACTTCACATTCAGTGTTGCGTCGCCTCGTCATTCGACCCAAAACCCAATTCACACCCATCCCATCAGCCCCCAGAGTTCATCAGGTAAGAGAGGGCAGTGGATGCAGCTAGCATGGACCAAAATTGGGGAAGGAAGGAGATGGATGGGTACAGGAAGAATTAAGAGAGAGACAAGGGTCCCATCTGTGGGTGCTGGGCCTTGCTGACATCTCATTTCTGTCACAGGCCCGATGGTTGAGTGGCCTCTCCCCTCAGTCCTGCCCTGAAGAGACTGCCCTGCCCTGGGTAAGTATCAGAAGTCTTTCCATGCTAAAAGCCCTTTTGCTGTCCCATTGACTTGGAGGCTTGGCAGTTTGAGGCCAGTATGCTGTTTGTCTTCAGAAGTTGCCTGTCTCTGTATCCTCCCTGCTTCTCTCCTGCACCTCCTAGTCTAGGTCCAGGACTTCTCAATTAGGAACTTTGATCCCTTCCTCCTGAGCATAGCACTCAGACTGATTTTCCTGCCACTACTTGGCTTTCTCACCTGCCCCCTTTCCTTTTTTGTGGCAGGAACAGATTGCAGTACGTTTGTTTGATCAGGACAGTTGTATAAGATTGCAGGAGGGGACTGGGAAACCACCTGTGGCAAGTTCTTCTGGACCTCACCCCAACAGGACCCTCAACCTCCAAAAGCTAAAGATACAGGTGGGTCTATGAGGACAACAGCTTTGATGACTGTTGGGCAATAACAGAGCTGGGAAAGGGGGATTTGGGAGGATAGGGGTAGAGAACTGTGGGTAGACTGTGAACCTGCTTCTTAATTTCACACTGGGGCATACTCTCCCACCATAGCGCATCAATATCCTGCAGCAGTTGTTGCGACAGGAGATAGAAGGACTGGCAATGGGCAAGTACACTCCTTTAAATGGATCCTCCTCTCTGGATATTGCTGAACTTCAGCCCCTGCTGGATGAGATTTCTAGAACTCTGAATGGCCCAGAGCATAATTCTGGGACATCCCACCTTCCTGAATTATCACAGCACTCTGGGATTCCAGAGCCCATCCTTTCAGAGGAGTGTGAGGAACCACAGTCCTGCCCTGAGACAGAGCCTGAGGTGGCACAGTCCTGCCCACCAATAGACCCAGGCCCCCCAGAGTCCTGCTGCAGGACTGAACTAGAGATACCAGAGACTTCCTTCCAGGAACAGCCTGAGATACCAGAGTCGTGCCTTCCAGCAGAGCCTGGACCCTTGCAACCCAGCCCCCAGGGGCAGACTGGATCCCCAGAGACTTGCCCTAAGGTAGAGCTGGAGGTTTCAGAGGCCCGCTCCCTGGAACCTGGAAGCCCAGAGTCCAGCCCATGGCCCTGCTACAGTCAGGGGGCTCCTGCAACCACCAGCCTGACCTTCTCTTCTCAACACCCACTTTGTGCCAGCCTCCCTATCCATTCACTCCAGTCTCTGAGGCCCTTGGCAGGCCAGGCAGGTAAGAAGTTGGTAGGGAAGAAATGGATTCAAAGAAAGTCCTATCTTTTTCACTGGGTGTGAGGCCCTGCCCCACACCCCATGGTAACAGGTCTTCTTCCCTGCAATGTTATCCCACCTGTCCTAGCCTGGATCCCTTGGAAATAAGGGAGGAACTACTTCTCTAGCTTTGTGCCCTAATTGGCTTGGCCCTTGTGGGAGGGAAAAGGGAAGTACATGGTAGGGGTGTGGGATTCCAGAGCTTCTCTAAACTCTTCATGACTCTCAGGCCCTAGCAATCTGGCCCCTCGGACACTGGCCCTGAGGCAGCGCCTCAAAGCATGTCTCTCCACCATTCACTGCTCTCATGAGACTTGCTTGGATGATGAGTGTGCCTTCTACACCAGCCGAGCCCCTCCCCCAGGACCCACCCGGGTCTGCACCAACCCTGTAGCCACATTGCTTGAGTGGCAGGATGCCCTGGTGAGCCTACAGACCATGGCCATGCTGTGTTTGCACAGCAAACCTTCAGAAAGTGGGGTGGGGGTGGGGAGGCAGGTGGCAGCAGGCCTTGGCTCCTTTTCTAAGAGGCAATGGGATATAACAATGTTTCTTTCTTTCTCTTTCTCCAGTGTTTCATTCCAGTTCATCCTGCAGCCCCTCAGGGCTCTCCATCATGAGGCCCCTCCCTCCACCTACTCCAGTCCTGCCAACCTCACCCCCCTTTCCTTTAGCCCTTATTTATTGTTGGTCTGCCCATGGGATTGGGAGCCAACATCCTTTTGTCCTTCAATAAATTTTCTAAAGTGTCCAAATGTCCAGCCAGTGAGTTTTCAGCGTCCAAATGGGGCAACCACTGCTGTTGCTCTCCAATTGCCCACATGGTGGCAGTGTGTTATAGCTTAGAGGATGGAAGCCAGCCTGGAGGGAGGAAGCTTTCCCATTCCTGACCAGCCCACCCCCTCAGCAAGCTCAGTCTGTGGGCAGCTTCAGAATCATCATCTCCTTGAGCCTTGAGATCAGTTCCAATTCTAGGAACTATTCCCTCATCCCTTAGAGCTCCTCTGCTGGAACTTTCTCACTGTCCCTTGCAGTGGCCGGCACCAGTACTCCCAGATACTCAGGAGGCTGAAGCAGGAGGATTGTTTGAGCCCAGGAGCTGAAGAGCAACCTGGACAACATAGCAAGACCCTGTAACCACCTGTCTTCCTGCCCTAGGTGGAGAGGCAGAAGCATAATACCCAGATCTTTGGAATTCTCCCTTGTCAGCATCATTCTGACTGGTTATCACCCAGGCCTACAGAGGCAGGCCCCAAAGTTCTCCTGGAGCTGATAATTCCTCCTTTTCACAGCAGAACAGAAACTTGAGCTGTCTTCTTCTTTGTCTCTCTCATAGGCAGACCTTGCCAGGAAAAACTAATCCTGACAGATTGATACTGAAGAGTGGGAGTCCTTGCGGGGGGGGGGGGGGGGGCATTTTCCCCTCACTCTGCACCAAGTTAAACAGCCACACACAATCCCCCAACCTTACTTTATTAGAAGAGGCAACAGCAGCTGTAGCCCCAGGGCCTAGCCCAGAGAGGAGTATAATGGGGACTATACAAAATGAGTTTTAAATGTGAGGAAAGAATTCACTGGTTCCTCCAGTTAACAGGAAGGCTGCCAAAGCTGGAGCCTGAAAATGGAGATGAGAGAGGAGGAGATGCGTGGCAAGAGAAAACTGTCATTATTGAGGACCAGCCTCTACCCTGTTCACTAGAGGGGTTCCTGTTTCTGTCTTTCCCTAACAAGTTGACAGGGCTTCTGAGCTTTGCTAGTGAGGCTGCCTCCCAGCTACTGGCAAAGAGGGGAGGGCCAACACCTCTCAGCTTTCACTGGCCACCTGTGCATGGGGTAGTCCCTCCCTAAGCCCCTTTGCTCCTCCTCTGGCCCGGCCTCTTCCCCTCCCTAGCCACTTGTACCCTCAAGTCCCAAGAGTCAGCCTATTTAGGCCTCTTCCCCTCCCTAGCCACTTGTACCCTCAAGTCCCAGGAGCAGGAGGTTCCACCCCGCCATGGCCAGGTTCTCAAATGATAGGGTGTTGCCTTGGGTAGGACCCCAGGAAGTGGGTTAGGGCTGGAGCGAAAGGGTAAGCGAGCAAGGGTGCGGGGTGGGGGGGGGGGGGGAATGGTGCCCAGCTCAGTCCGGGTAGATGATGAAGCCTGAGAAGGTGCTGTATTTGTTGGTGTTGCCGCCATGCACCTTCCCGCCGTCCAGTTTGATGAAGACCTCGTCGCCCACATCCAGGTGCAGAATGACGCTGTTGCTGGCATAGTCGTAGTTCTGGTCTGCATCCTGAGCAATGGCGCTGGCCCGGACCTATCCAGAAAAGAGAGGAAAACCACCTAGTCAAGCTCTGTGCAGCGCTGGGGTGGTCCAGGGGTCAGACCCAGTGGATGCTGTTTGGCATGGGAAAGGCGCTGAAGGGCATTGGGCTGTCAGTATTGGAAGGACAAGGGTAGGACATTGCTGGGCTGGTCCTTCAGGCTCTGCCATTCATTAGCTGTGTGACTGAGGGGCACACATCAGGTCTTCTCTGGGCCTCAATTTGAGCTGTAAGTTTTTGGAATTTTAATGAGTTACATGAGTCTATTCAAAAGAGTGATTTGCATACAGAAAATGTTAAATAGGGGTTGCTATTATTATTCTCACTTAAAAAATAAAATCAACCTGCTGGATAATTTATAAGGATCTGTGCTGGCTCAGACCTCCTGTTAGTCCTAAATTTGCGTTTGCTTCCGTGCTAGGGCAATAGGTGTGTCTCCGAGTGTGCCACAGGGTGCCTCTGGGGCACCGGGTTTCCCAGCAGAGCAGCAGGCCAGCTGGTTTCCCCACGTGGGGGGTCGCCTTCAGCTGGAACAGGGGGCCTAGCCTATCCTATGGCCTCAAGGCATTCGCCTCCAGCAGCCAACCCCCTCCCCATTCCCCCTTTTCTGTCCCACCAGGCCGGTTATTAACTTATTAATTATTCATCATTATTCTAATCATTATTTACCATCCCCAGGGCCGCAGAGCCCGCGCCATGGAATACAGAGTGGGAATCGTGCAGCTCCCACCCCCTCCCAAACCAACACTCTCTAAATACATACTTGCCCCTTTGGCCTTCTTCTAGGCTTCCGGCATAGACCAAGCATGCCTACTTGGTGCCAAATGCAGATAGACGCCATCACTCTACTCATACCTTCATACTCCCTACCCACAAACACACTCAAATATGCACACATTCACATTTCCTTACACCTGTATACTGCCTCTCCCACACACAGACACACAGGTACTCCAAATCTCTTTCCTTGGGTTCCTAGGGAGGTCCTGCAGGATGAGACCCCAAAGCAAGAGTGGGAGTTTGCTAGCAGTGAGGTCCTCTTGGGCAGGGAGGGCACTAAATTCGTGCAGAGCCAAAGGCTCAGATTGAGCCCCAAGAAGCAGGCCTACTAACTCCCTCCATTGGATCATTCAGAGGTCACCACTCAGCCCAGTCTCCCCTTTGGCCTGAATCACCCAGGCAGCTTCCTCCACCTCAGCCTTCGGCCTTTTTCCAGCTTTGTGTGTCTGGAGCTGAGTCCTTGAGGCTATTTTCCCTAAACAAGGTGGCAATGACTCTGACCACAGGGGCAGCAAGCATCTGAAGCTGGAGGCTCAGAGGTTGCCACAGAGGATTTGGGGCCTACAAATCAGGCCATGGTTCAAGGCCTAATATCTCCCTATTCCTTGCCTTCTTTCTCCTCCAAATCTTTCCTTCCACAACTTAATTGGCCCCTGGACTGTTGGACCATGTCCCATCTCTACCTGCAGATATTCAATATTAGCTGAGGGTAACAATGAGTCTAGGCTTGGCCCCAGACTCTCTGTCTGGCAAGTGAACAAGCAAGTATTTCTTTCTTTCTCTCTCTCTCTCTCTCTCTCTCACCTTTTCTTTCCTTGAAAATCCAAAATGAATGGCCCACAAGAACTGGCTGCCAACTGCCCATCCCTGAGACATGGATTCCATTCTAATTCCAAAGAGCCAGATTCCAGGTAGTTCACCCTTCACCAGGGCTGGAACAGCCAAAGGCTAGGAAGGCTGCCTTCAAGAGAGAAGGCGGCTCAAGATATGACTAAAAAAGAGGCTGAATGGTAGGGTAAGATACCAAAGACCCTTGGTGTGGTTGCCTAAAGCTGGAGTGTGAGGTCACTGCTGCAGAATCATTAAGCTTTGAGACCTGGGTTTTAATTCTAACACCATGCCTCACACCCTGTGAGACCCTGGGCAGGTGATTTTCTTTCTCTGGCCCCCAATCCTTTTTTGGCTAAATGAACCTGTTAAGTTCTTGGCAGCCTGGCGTTCCTGGATTCCCTGATGCTGTCTGGGATAGGAACTAAGTTGTGGAAAGAATGAATGGAGATTTAGGAGGCTACCAGTCAGATATGAGACTAGGTAGGAAAAGGGCATCTCACCTGTCCATTCTTCATCAAATCCGCCCACATGCTAGTGCCGTCGCCGCCGCGCATGAGCACGTGGTAAGCAAAAAAGTAGACGCCAGGCATGGGACAGGTGAACTTGCCGCTGGCTGCCTCATAAGCGTTGCCCACGTTGGTCACCACGTCGTCAAAACGCAGTACCTCATAACCCTCATGAGGCCGCCGAAGACCCGCGTAGAAGGCAATTCGAGGTACGTAACCCGCTGGGGACACTGCCCCGCCGGGGCCTGGGCCGGGAGGGCCAGGGGGACCTGGCCTGCCGGGCTCTCCTGGGGGCCCTCTGGGACCTGGGGGTCCCGGGGGCCCCCGCAAGCCTGCCTTCCCGCGCCGGCCCACCTCCCCCTTGGCACCTGGGGGAAAGGGTGGCACAGAAGCAGAAGCGCTGTCGGATCCCTGTCCTCGGGACCCATGCGGGTCACACACCATGCGGCAGCGACCCAGCATCTCATAGTGCGCCGGCCCGCGGGAGCTGTGCACCAGCAGCGGGATGGCCACCAGTAGCAGTAGCACCATGGCCACCCCGACGGCCGCGCCTGCCACCCGCTTGCGGCGGCTCAGCCGCGACGCGGCCAGGGCCAGCAAATCCTCCTCACTTTTGGGCGCAATGGCGGCAGAGGCCCGGGGCTCGCCGCGGGCCCAGGAGGCTGTGGCCCGGCTCGGGCCTGGGTCTGTATCCCCCCGACGGTCGCGCCCGGCCCCCCGGCCCCTGTGGGCGCCCGCCGCAACGGTGCCGTTCCCCAAACCGTCGGTCAAAGCGGAGGTCTCCCAGTGGGGTGGGCCAGGGGCAGCTCCAGACTGTTGAGAACCCGTGGTTTTCTGTTACCCTCCTGTGCAGTCTTAACGATCCGGGACGCCTGAGATCCACGGCTTCTTGGACGGCTGGTTTCTTACAGGTCTAGGATACCTGCTCTCCAAAGAGCTGCTTTTTCACGGATGGCGGTGTCTAAGTCTTAGGCTACCCATAAGAATGAATCGCTCCTGGCTGGAGCAGGGACTACTCCCCGCGCTCCGGACGTCCCGGGTTCTATCTGAGCTGCGGGTAGCGCCCACTGGACGCGACCTTCTCCTAGGTTTTGCGCTCTACCTCTTGGAAAGCACTCATCCACCTTCCTCCTCCAGCCACGGCCGCAGCCTTTGCTAGAGCCCTGGCCTGGCGTCTCTCTCCTGCAATAGCTCTCCCTCTCTGCGTCCCTAACCTTCCTCCCCTTCTTCCCCCGGCGGCAGTGCGGGTGGTGTGAGTCGCCGCGCGGCGGGAGCCACTATAAGTGGCCGAAGGCTGAGCGACCCCTGGTGCCCAGAGTGGGAAGCGCGGGGGCGGGGCAGGCAGGGCTGCTTCACACAACCCCCCACACACATTCAGGGTGCCCCTCTTCCCCGCCCCTACATTCCTGGCTAGCTTTGAGGGTTCGGCAGGGATTCCTGGTCACAGACCTTATCCTTACTTTTACACTCTATAGGGAGTTTGGCATTCTCAGAGCCCCAAAAAGCCAGAAACAGCGATAGGATAAAAAGGAGTCCAGAGAGAAACACAAGAGAAGACAGAGGTGGACTGAGGAGCTAAAAAGAGGCTGGGAGAGGGGAATTACCACAAACGAAAAACAAAACAAGAAAAGCGAGAAAAGATAGAAATTTGCCACCATATACCCCTCCATTATCTCAAGTAAATACCGCGTGTTAACATGGTAAAGGGTTCAATAGATACTTGTTGACCTGAACTGGAAAAGGAAAAATTCCAACCACTCCCACCCTGACCCCAGGGTTTGGGGGCGCTATGCAGTAGAGTTTTGGGAGAGCGGGGAGAAACAGACCAGCTTGGGGGAGCGAGCAGGCAACTGACAGAAAAGCAGAGAAGGTGACGGAGAAATCAAAGAGAAAGAAAGCCAGATAGAGACCTAAAGACAGAGACAAAGCTGCGAAAAGAAAAGAGACTGACAGCTCCAGAGGGGGAGAGGGAGAGACAGAGACAGAGAGAGAGAGAGACAGGAGCTGAGACAGGTTGACAGATCCAGAGAGAAATGTAAATGGCGCGCTGCAGAGAGACACCCAGGTCCGTGTTCGGACTCCAATGTGACATATCAACTGTAGGGAAGACGAGGGGGCGGGGCGGTTCTGCCAGCCGAGTGGTAGACTCTGGGCCTGTGCATTGTGACAGTGCGCTGGAAAGTGTGGAGGTGGCCACGGAATCCTGGCCTTGTGTGTCCTGGGTGAGTGGGATTGTGGATTGTGTCTAGTCTTTGTGTTTGTTTGTGTGAGGGCTGTTTGAAGGGAGGTATTTGTATTCGTCCACCTCAGCCCCCAAATTTGGGACCCCACAAATTTGGGACCCCATTTTTCCTATCTCAGGACTGAAGAGTAGGGAGTCTCCTGGGGAGAAAGTCAGAATGTAGGTCTAATCTCATTTGCCCTGCCCAACCCAGCTCAACTCCACCTCTGCCCTAGTCCCAGAGTTGTCCAGCCCCAGAAGTCTCAGCCCCCTCCTCCTTCCCCATATGTCTGCTGTCCAAGGAAGCCCAGAGAAGTTAGACCCCAATAATGGATGTTTGGTTGGTTACACAAATTAATGCAACTTAAATGTAGATTAGATGCTAGGCACCTTAAGAGGTGACTGTGTCTGCTTTCAGGATGGCCAAGAGGGAAAAATGGTGTGGGTAGAACAGGATCCAGAGAGGAAGATATTGGCTGTACCCTTTCCTAGGGCCTGGCCCCTCTGGAGACCTCAGGCCAGAAGCTAGGAGAGGGGGTCCTAGACCTGATAAGGTGGGGTTGTTTGGAGACCCTAGAGTTCTGCAGAGGCAAAGGTCTCTTAAGGAGTAGGGTAAACCAGGAGAATGATGCCTGGAATATGTTGTGTAAAATGGAGGGTACAAGGCACACCAGGGCACAATTATTGATGTAGAATGTGATTTCTTCATCCCTCCTTTCCTGTAATTCTTCCCCGAATGCCCCCACACACACACACACCTCATAATGTTGCTGAGGCTGGGCCTGTGTTGTGGATGGTGGGAGGTCCTTATGTGGCTGAAAGGATTGGAAGAGAAAGGATTGACAAGTGGGGGAAGGGCCTTCCCCTCCAACCATAAATACAAATTTTATTCAAGGTCTTTGTCACCATTTGTCTTCGGGGGGGGGGGGCTGAGGACCATGTAGGCCCCGTGCATGTCTAATTCCAGATCTGCTCCCCCAGGCTGGATGATGGATGGATCAGAGAGAGCAGGCCTGGGCTCACACCATTCTCCCTTGCCTGAGTCTCAGGTCCCATACACACCAAGTCCTGCCACCTCTCTTCTTCCTCCTTACCCCCACCTCCTCTCTACTTGCTAGAGGCCCTGTTTGCCCAGACATGCTTCCCACCCCACTTATGCCACTCCCTGTGCCCCCTTATGAACCCCTCACCTCAGACTCTTTCAGGTGCCAGTCCTCTTCTCTCTAAATCTTCCCCTCTTCTATCCCCAGCCCAGGCTGTGAGCTGCGGTGACCAGCAGGGCTGCAGGCGGCAGCGGGTGTGTGTGGTGGGGGAAGCAGGCTTGGCTCACAGGGAGCTGAGGGGCCAGCTCCATGAATTTATTCATGTTCTGTTGCTCTTTCCCCACGCTCTGGAATGAAGCTGCCAGCTCACCAGGTCCTTATTGCTTCCCCTGCAGCTGTCACATTTGTCCAAGGAGGAACCTGGGTATGGCCAAGACCAGCAGGTGCTCTGGGGCTGAAAGCTAAAAGGGAATGTTGGGGCCCAGACTGGAGTTCTGGACAATTTAACCACAGATTCTCTGGTAGACAAACTGGGAGATCCCAGGGAGCTGATGTGCTTAGGAATGGGAAGTAGGCAGAGAATGGTTTGCTGCAGGACAAAGAAGAAACAAGGAAGGTGGGGGCAGTGTTGGTGGGAAGAGGGGAGAGGAGAAGACAACTTTAACAGTCTGCTATGCTCTCCCACTTGAAAGCATAGCCCACTCTAAATCTTGCATTAACCTCTACCCTTGGCTTTGCACTAACCCTGACCCTAATCCCAAATGATACTCTTCTCTACAATCCTAAAATGAATTTTAACTTCATTACCTGACCTTAAGTGGAATGCATGCATCTTTACCTGTCCTGGAACCCAGAAGTCTCTCCAGAATTCTCTCCAGGGTGATAGCCAGGTGTTTGTCAGAGTTCTGAGGGCCAGACTTTGGATTAGCATGTGATTAGCATACTATTTGCATGTGATATGTGCCTTCTACTCTGCAGAAGTTTTTATGTTAAAATTTTATGAAGTCTAGCGGAAAGGTCCTGGCTCCTTGAAGTGTTTTTTTTTTTTTTTTTTTTTAAATCATTCTTTCTTTTTTTCCTTCTCTCACACTTCTTGTCACTGACCCAGACCCCCTCAAGGGAAAAAAAAAAAAGGGGTGAGCAGGTAAGCAATAGAAGGCCCATGGGAGGGGAGATTCTGGCAGTGTGATCTGCCTCTATCACTTGCACAAGCCTCAATGTCCTCATCTGTAAGAAGAGAGGAACTATCTGGCTGAAATTCCTTTAAGATCTAAGGAAGCACTTGCACTTTTCTTCCTCCCCTTTAGTCCTGATCTTGGAGAGGTTTTCCCCAACCTCTCCCACACTCTGGCTTTCGGCTCCACATCAGATTTCACATATAGATAGAAGCAGCCTGGGTTACCTGGTACCAGACAGGGGTAGGAAGAGAATGGAACTTTGTCCACTTGAGAAGACAGAGGATTGCATGAAAAGGGAAATAACATTATTAAGTATTTATTGTATTTGAGGGCTTTTAAACACAAAAGTTCTCATACCTTCACAGCATCCCTGAGGGGTGGATATATTGTTCCCATTTTACAGATGAGGAAGATGGAGCCCAGAAAGGAGAAATGGCTTGTCCAGTATCACCCTGTAAGAGATCCTAAAATTGGAGTTATGATCCTTTGGCTTCCTTTTCAGTACCCTGGAAAAGAAATAAATGGCACCAGAGGCAATGGAAGGGTGAGAGAAGTAGGACAGGAAGATGAGATCTCAGGGGAGATCTGTATGTGTGAGGCCAACCGGCAGGATCTTGGCTCTGCATGTCCCCCATATCCCCCTGCCCTGACACTGTCAACTCTTGACACACAACAGGGCTAAACTGTGGTCTAATGGAAGGCTAAATTTTGAAACTGTTCAGCTGGAGAAGGAGAGGACACAGAAAAATGAACTAGAGGAAAATTTGCTTAAAGGGCAAAAGGGAGACCTGAAACTGGATCTCCTTCTGCAACCCCGAGGTGAAACAGTGGAGGTCCAAGACCTGCACACACTTTGCCTCCTCATAGAGACTACTTGCCTTGCCGTGAGACAGGGGGCAGATGCAATCGCTAGTGCCATTGGCCAGTGCCCCTTGCCCCGCAGCTCTGTGCAGACTTAGGTTAGAACAGGGCTGGACTCCCAGCACCCCAGGGAGTGGGTAGAGATTGTTTCCCAGATAGGTGTCTATCAGGCCAAAGCGTGCTACTGACTTCCTTCTGCGGTCCTGAACCCCTACCTATGTGTGGTTTCTGGTCTTTGCCTCCTTCTCCACTTCCCTTTGCGCCCCACTTGTCCCCACCACTCTCCCACTCCAGTCTCGGGTTAATCAAAT